CAAGATGTTTCGCTATCACAGTGATGATTCCTAACCCTTTACATAGAAACGAGTCATTAGTTTCAAGATTTTTGTTTTCGGCTACCTGTTTTTTTGTTGGGTTATATCCCTTCTGGCTCTTGTTTACCATCAAAAGCAAACTAGGTGCGATGTAGTATAAAAATTTAAGCAATGTCCACTTGGCCATTGGCAATGACTGACTACCAGAGCCCCTACGTTGGAATCCAATTGCCAATTTGGATGTTTGGGTGAAAAAGCAGCAATGCCATCCTTCAGCGTTCGTAATAGTTACATCACGTAGGTTTACTTTTTACTGTAATTGTCTGTTCGCTCTCCTTTATACCCTATTATCATTATCAGAAGTTACTGCTGGAACCTTATTTGGTGTCTATTTGAAATGCTGTGAATGTTTTACGAACGTAAAAAAACAAAAAAAGAATGAACTGGCAAATAAAGCAATTCTTCAGCTTCTAATATTCTAAAAATCTGCTCTCTCCGTGATGTTCAACCAGTAACCTTGTGTATTAACAGTATTACGCATAATAATTACACTAATAAAAGTTAATAAGTATATACACTTTAGCAGTAACATTTCTCAGTTCAAGCTAAAGTGACCTTCTTTAATAGTACCTACATATTCTGTCTCACCTAAAGGGTTGTTAGAGGTTGGCGCATACTTCGCCTATACGTTTCGGGAACGTAATTCCTAAATAAGCAGTCAAAGTTCACTGTAAGACACATATCCTGCACGATTATGCCCACTGATTAACGAATTATCAGCAGAGTAAGTAGTGAATGGTAATCAGTGGTATGCCAAACAGTACCCGAGAAAGGACGTAATTTTAGGTACAGAATGCTTACCTTCTGTACGTGGCCAAAACTGCTTTGTTGATAACTTGAAGAGCTTACCTGAAACAAAGAAAACATTTTTCAATTACAAACAATCAAGGAGGTTAGTTTTCAGTTTAAAAACTATGTCGTGAAACTACCAAATCACTGGAACAGTGAACGAATTCCCGTATATCCGTATACAAATAGAATTGTGTTCATACCGGGTGGTTTAAGATCGACCTTTATCGTTGGGATCTCGGATACGGCATCAGATGCAAAGGCACTTGAATGGGGGCAAAGTTAAGATAACTAACAAAATGCCGCTTAGACAGTTTCGAAATTCAAAGTATTTCCGGACACATTAACATTGCCACTCTTTGTACACTGCAAGACGGCATAATCGGAATCTCAATATGACGTGTCGCCCACTGTCATCCAGCATCAACTTTATTTTTTCTTATGGACGACATATTGGACTTTTGCACAGATGGATAGAGTTTTCAATTCTGATTCCAAAAATTTATAACGTGTTATACATTTACATTAACAAAACTTAGTTATTTCAAAAACACAGAATTGCCTAGGTAGGCCTTGAAATTATCAGGTAGTCATTTGTTTCGTATGCCAGATTTATCACAAAAACACTTTTATTTGTTCCTAACTTTATTTCAGATGCGATTTCGGAATAAATTGCACGATATCATTGCCACCTTTTCTCCTTTACAAGTTGGCGTATTCAAATTTACAATTCGAGGTTTCTTCTTTTGACTTCCATCACCAGCTTCGTTTTTTCATGTGGACGCTATATGGGAATTTTATACATTTAAATACTATTAAGAATGTATTACGTCAATCAAATATCTGAAGTTTATCATGACGTAAATAAATGTATTATAACTATAACTAAATACAGAATCAAAAATTTCAATAGGGAGTCCAAAAGGAAAAACAAAGTTGAGGGTGGAGATCGAAAACAAACAGTGTGGCAATGCTAATTAATATGCAACTTATTTTAAAATTCCGTTTCAAACGAAACTAAGAAATAAACAACAAATTTTCAATAAATATAGTATACGGAACAAATGACAAAAAGTGGCGATGTTAATGTGCAATTCATTTTGGAATCCCACTACAAACAATGTCAGGAAAAAATTAAATCGATTTTGTGAAAATTTGTTTTTTCCGTCTCTCTCAGGAAGTATTTTCTAAGCGGCATCTTGTTAGTTACTTTAATAAGCGACTTTTTCCTCGTTTCAAGCCTCTTGAAACACCCGGTATAAATTGCAGGACAATCTCTTTTCAAGTTCTGAAATAGCTACAATTATCAATAGCTGCCATGCCAGTCACTGGTGACTGACACTGAACAATTCCAATGGTGCTGTGTCAGTCGTCAGGACGTTTTGACGTCTACTGAGGTGAACAGCTGATCATCTAGTGACATCATTGTATTAGTCTGTAACGTTTGCAATAATGAATCGGGTGTAAATCTTGCTTGTAGCGTTTTTTTGCATCTGAAATTGTCTAAATAAAACATTTGTTAGCAAGTACAAAATGAATCTGTAACGTACAGAAAATCAAAATAAAATCCGGCTTTGACGGATCCGTCCATTTGTCGATATGGGGAATTTTAAAATACTACTAGATGGTCAGCTGTATCAGCTATTGTCGTGGAAAGGACAATCTATACCCAGATTCAACTTATTATTTGGCCCTATCAATAATGATGGAGTTCTGTGTGAAATTATATTAGGTTTCAGTGTGTTAAAATGTACCCAAAACTTTGCAGGTAAAACAACTTAATGTCTGGAGTCTACGTGAAAAATAATTGCAAATGAATGATTTTTTGATGTATGAATCTTAAACGAAAAGTAGTATAACAATAAAGATTCAATTCAACTGATTCTCGATTCAGAATTCTGTACTCTGTATAGGGAGAAGATCAATCAGAACTTGGGTAGCATTAGCCCATTTGAACGTCTGGGTCATTGATTCCCAAAGTGGTCTATATCGACCCCTAGGGGCCTATGACAACCTGCAAGGGGTCTACGTCAGCGAAAAAAAAATTGGGGGTCCATGAAATGAATATGGGGGTCCACGATAGTGGATATCAACACATACACTGATAGTACCTATTTACTTACATCATACTAACTTATAATATCAAAACAAATACATTATTTATAAAAGTACCTATGAAGTAAAAAACTTATTATATATGTTTATAAAATTGTGTAAGTTGTAGGATGTTGGTATTCGCTTTGTGGTCGCAATACATTTTGAACTTGTAAAAACCTGAGAGTCGCAGTCTCAGAGCTTCGCTACCTTGCACTGACTTGTTCAATTCGTCACTCTATAAATACGAATGTGGGACAAATACGTTTATTCGTTTCCTGAATCTTGAAAAGGAAAGTGCTAAGAAAATATTTTAAAAAATATAAACAGATAGTATATCGCACAAATTATAGTGAGTCAGTTTTATTTTGTTTGAGAGTGCTGGAGAAAAGTAAGTACATTATTTTTTATTAAATTTTAGTTTTGTACTCGTAGTTCGCAAAGATAGATAAATTACGCCAATCATGACTTTAGTTATTAGTATTTAAATATTCAATCATGCAAAATTACACGAGTACTCCCCAATAGTCTCTTTTTGAAAGTTTTAGCAATCGGTAATATAATTACAGTGCAATCTCCGTAATTCGAGCTAATTGTTGCAAGATGTTCGAATTATGGAATGTTTTCGGAAAAATCAAAAAATATGTTCAATATACAGCTGCTGGAGTTTCTGTTTCATTTAAATAATTTAATTTTGCCCACAGATGACTGATGCCATGTCCGAATCTAAAAAGAAATGTAGACAGTACAGTGTTGATTATTTGAAATTTGGCTTTATTCCATCATTGCCGGACAAACAATCGCCTATGTGCCTTTTATGCAACAAAGTTTTGGGCAATGACGCTATGAAACCATCTAAACTGCAAGATTATCTGAGAAGATGCCACCCTGATAAAACAGAGAAAGATTTGAAATACTCGTACTTTTAAACACTCAAAGATATATTTCAGAAGAGACCTACACTGGACAGGATGTTCGCTTCGACGTCACAAAGAAATGATGATGGTTTGCGGGCGTCTTACAATATCTCGTTACTTATAGCAAAATCCGGAAAACCGCATACTATCGGAGAGAAGTTAATTTTGCCAGCCGTTGAAGAGGTTTTAAAAACTGTTTTACACAAACCTGCATCTGATATCATTAAAAGAATTCCCTTAAGCAACAATACTGTTGAAAGACTGAAAGATTGGCATATGTTCGTTTTATTATGAATCAAGAAATCTACGAAGAACTGCTCTTCCCAAGAACTTTGATAACCGACAGAAAGGTGAACCAATATTTCATGTTTTGAAGGATTGCTTCATTGAAAAAGCAATTCCTTTATCAAATATAATATCAGTAGCTACAGATGGAGCACCTGACATGGTTGGACGTTATCGTGGATTTATAAGCTCTATTTAAAACAAAATGTGTCAGGGGTGTTAGCAGTAAACCGAATCAGAAGCAACGCGTTGAATACGCGGTTATTTGCGCAGTTGTGTGAAGAAAATGACGAACGCTTTCATCAATTACTCCTTCACACTGAAGTACGCTGGCTGTCGAAAGGCTTATGTTTGACAGGATTTTTTGCACTTTTTGAGACTATTTTAGAATTTCTCGATACTAAAGATAAAATTTTAAAATAAAATTTAATGAAGAGGAAAACAGACATCGCCTATTTAACAGATTTGTTTACAAAATTTAATATGGTTAATTTGCAATTACAAGGCGACAGTTTAAATTTGATTAAAACAAAGTCCATCTTATGAGCGTTTCTTGCCAGAGTTAAACTAATGAAGCAAAATATTGGACGGGGCGAATTTTCTCAGTTCCCCAATTTGTCACAGACAAGCTGCCAGGAAGACGACGTTTCAACTTACGATCAACATTTGAATGCCCTCTATTCAGGTTTTGAATCTAGGTTTGAGGATATTTTGACTATGGTAATACCACCGTGGATAATTAATCCATATGGTGACATAGAAGAAACGAATGTCATAATACAAGAGGAACTGACTGAACTAAGTACAAACGAAGAACTTAAGGTTCAGTTTAAAAACGGATATCAGCAATTCAGGATGCAAAACAACATACCCGTTACTTATCCCGTATTATGGAATATAGCGAGGAAATTTTTAATTTCCTTTCCATCGTCATATCTAGTGGAAAGGGAGATCAGCGCTGTTACCAATCTCCTAACGAAAAAAAGAAACAGACTGGACATCATTAGCCGAGGAGATTTAAGATTAACCCTTACAAAATTGACGCCAAATGTTGATAATTTATTATTAAAGCATCAGGTTCATCCTTCTCACTAAAAATATTGACTTATTGCTTATGTTATTTTATTTATAGTTTATTTGATGTTTGTTGGTGTCTGACCAATAAATGCCCGCATTGGGAATAAGTGCCCGCATTGATTTTTTTAAAGAACCCCCCTTTATAGAAAATATTTTTTTTAAATTGTTCTGAAAATTCAAGGATAGGTACACACTAAAATTCGTTAATTTTTTGCCTATTTTTAATACAGTATAGTGAAATTATTGGAGAACATTTATATTATAATTAATAAACGAACTCGCTTATTCTACTACTTTAAGTAAAAAACTTTTTTTTTATTATTTTTCACTTTCTTTTTATTTTATCCCTCTTATCTTTTTTTCAATGCGGGCACTTATTCCCAATGCGGGAACTTATTGGTCAGACACCTGTTTTAATGTTACGTATATTTTACATAACAGACACAAAATTTTATTTTGAGTAGTTTTAATTTAAATTCAATTAATAAATGTATAAATTAACATGTGTTTTTACTTTAAGATGAGTTTCCATTAAAAGAGGCTAGCGTTTCCTCAGAATGGATTCTCTGATAGACAGGACAAAGCAAGTGCTTGACTGTCTCATCTTCCTGTTCACAACTCTCAAACTCATGTTACAGAGATATTTCCTTAGCTGACAGTGTCCACTCTCAATGCCGGTTGCAAACCAAAGGTGTTTTGATACTGCCTCACTAGGACAGCTGTGGAATTCTTTAGCGAATGAGCTGCCCGACAAATCATTCCACATATTCTTCAAGACTTTTTGGGCGTGCTCTTTTTAGCATAGTCCAAGATTATGAGCTGGCTCTTCGTATTACCATCGATTAGCGTATTCCACCTGGTAGGATACGTTAATAAATGGTATCCATCGTTTGGCCGAACCACCTCAGTGAAGCACAAATAAAAACTATGCTGGTTTAATTCTTTTCAAAATTCAAACTGAAACAAATAAAAACGTGCAAATGGTACCTTGATACATCATTCCGTCACTTATAGTCGAAGACACACTCAAAACCAAACCACACTACTTCCACCCAAAGCCGCGGGTCTGTCTCCGATTGTTATAATGCTATACTATACTATCCACTAGCTAGCACCTACGGACAGCGTGATACACAAACTATTCCGATTCTACACTGAGAAGAATTAGCGCATAAGTACTTTGAGTATGAAGTCATTGATCATTTGTTTAAGGAATGAAAACGGCGCGAATTGACGCTAAAGTCCGAACGATCTAAGGAACATTTACAGGACCGAAGTTGCGATTGTTTATTCCTAGGAAGGAATCGAAAACGTTTTGAAATATCGGTTTTAATTCAACTCTCTAAGGAAAAATCCTACAAAGTTGGATCAAATATAATAGTCCAAAAGTTGATAGTTTGCGAGATACGTATAAAATGAAATTTAATTTTCTATTTTTCCTTATTGCTTGAAAACTATTTCAGCGATTGGCATAAAACTCGATATAGGGAGGTTTTCTCACTATTTCAGTAAATAAATTATCATAACTTTTTTGTGCTACCCTGTCTACAACATCTGACCGAAAAATCTTATTTTCTCGTATTTCCACAACAAAAAAGCTAATAGTTTTCGATATATTTGTTTTTAAAGGTTTCATTGTATTATTTGTAGCATGATGATAAAACATTTTTATAACATAATAATCAAGTTGCTTTGAATAATATCTGAGTAACGTTGCTATGGTTTCTAATGTTTGCCATAATATTGCTTTAAACTTCATGAATAATTTTAAGTTGACAATAAGTTGTTTAACATCATGGATTATACGTTTGATGAATATTCTGATATGCATTTAATGTACGGATTGGCAAGATGTAATGCTTTAAAAGCACGATGAATGTACGCTGACAGATTCCCTAATAGACACCTAATTCAAAGACTTTCCAATGAATCGATCAGCGGTTACGAGAAACCGGTAAGAAATGATTATAGTCTTATTTTGAATAGTAAAAATGATTTGGATTTTAGGTAGTTTTGCTCAAAATATGGGCTGACGTAGTGGATCTCCCAGAACTGTACATACAGCTGAAGTTGAAGAAAGTGTTTTAGATGCTGTCTTTGAAAATTCTACAGTTGGGGTTAGGAATGTAGCTCGAGAATTTCAAGTTTTCAAATGTACAGTAAATACCATTTTTCAAAAAGAACATGGATTAAGCGCGGATGATGACCACGCAAGGGTAGAATTTTGTACATGGCTCTTAAGGAAGTTTAACCACAATGGTTTACTTTGATGATATTATCTTCGGACGAAGCAGGATTCGGAAGAGATGGGCCCATTAACTCGCATAATCTTCACATTTATGCAGATGAAAATCCTCATGCAATAATACAAACCCGCCACCAAGTACAATTTCAAATTAATTTATGGGCAGGAATAATTGGACAATATTTAATAGGACCTGTTGTGTTACCACCTAGACTAAATGGCCAAAGGTATTTACAATTTCTTGAAGAATAATTACCCACTCTGCTGGAAGATCTTCCATTACAAACACGCATGAATATGTGGTTTATGCACGTCGGTGCTCCACCTTATTTTAGTATATTAGTTAGAGAGCACCTAAATAGAGTTGATCCAGACTAGTGGATAGGCCGATTAGGACTTGTATCGTGGCCGGCTAGATCACCAGATTTAAATCCTATGGATTTCTTCTGGGATGATTTAAAACGACGCGTTTACAATTCGCCAGTGAAAACTGTAGATGATCTTCGACAAAGAATTTTCCACCATAGCTAGGAAATAAAAAATAACATCCAAATGCTTTAGATAGTGCAGCAAGGATTAGTTCGTCGAGCTCGAGAGTGTGTTAGGCAAGGTGGTGCTCATTATGAACAATTTTTGTAGTTATTAGTTTTCCGTTTATTAGTTTTGTTGCCATGCTCATTTGTTATTGTTAAAAACCATAGCAACGCTACTCAGATATCCAAAGCAACTTGATTATTATGTTTTAAAAAAGTTTTATCATCATGGCACAAATAATGCATTGGAAAATTCAAATCTCGAAAACTCTTAGCTTTAGACACTTCTAACAAGTGAACCTTTTTTGTTGTAGAAATACGAGAAAATAAGGTTTTTCGGTCAGATTTTGTATGCAGGATAGCATAAAGAAGTCATCATAAGTTATTTACTGAAATAGTGCTGTAAGTGGCGCACTCTAGAAGTTTGGCCATAAAAAATAACGGATTCTTGTTTCTCATGCCAGAAAACCTCCATATACCGAGTTTTATGCCAAAATATGAAATTCTTCTCAAATAATAAGGAAAAATAGAAAATAAAATTGTAACTTTGACACCCTGTATCTCGCAAACTATCAACTTTTGGACTAAACTATGTTTAGGTCAATTCTCATACTTTGGTCTGTAGTATCTCGGTTCGAGATTTTCCAACCTTTCGCAGACATCCTGTATACAATAAATAATTAACACCTAGTGCATTCATTTTCAGGGAATGCCCAAATCTACGAAATGCAGCAATAATAATCCTCTAGCCTTTGTCTTACGGGACCGAAGTGGTGGTACCACTTTTGAATAAATAAGCTTACGAAATCGAGACAAATGTAAAAGTTGCAAACCTTAAAAATATTTCCTGATTTTACTTTTAAAGCTACCAGTATGTTGTTGTCCAAGGGTAGTCCAGTTGTCTCAAATACTTTTGTAGCACCAGTAAACTTTTTAGCTGCTCATTTGACTCCAATTATTTCTTTTTTAAATACGTATTGTGTATACTTAATTTACAGTAGATGTACTTAAGGTAAAAATAATGGATATGTGAACTATTTGGTTTGTCAAAAAGCAAAAAAAAGCACGGGGTTGCCCATCCATGTGATGACGGAATATTGGTTTGAAGCAAAAACTTTACAAAGAAAACTGCTTATGGGTTATCATATATGGAACTTGGAGTCACGTTTCTGAAATTTTACAGTTAAACAGGACGTCCCAATTTTGATCTACTTATCAAAGCTTTTTTTAAATTCAATGCCCTAATTTTCATCACATATTCGGATGGACAATTTTAAAATAAGCAGATAGATGTAACATAGTTATGGATTTTGATTATCAGTTGTTGAATTATTGGGTATTTTTTATAAAAGAACACATAAGTATGACAGGCTGCAGGTCTGCTATCTTGACAGGTCGAGTAGCAAATTTTGTTTTAAAAATGTTTCATTTTACTCAATTTTAACCTAATTGGTCAATTTTGTAAATTTATGAATGTACAATACAGGTTAGTCAAGAACGCAAACCCTGGCCCACAGACATTTTTTCCTTGCCCAATAGTACCGCCCTTTAAAATTCAGGATAATACAAATTCTTGACACAAAATGGACTACTGCAGGCTGGCAAAATTTAGTTTTCTTTGTATAAAATGCCCAATAATTCAAAAACTGATAAATAATTAAAACCCATAGCTATGTTATATCTGTCTGTCCGAATTCGTAATAAAATGGAGGGCATTCCATTAAAACGAGGCATTGATATTGGGAAATAATTGCGACACCCTGTATAATTGTGAATATTTTATTAATAAACTCTAAGCTACCATATATAATAATCCATAGTTTTATTTGAAAAGTATTTGTTTTGAAGCGTTGGGAGTATTAGCAATTTTCTACTGTTTCGCTAGTGGATTTGACAAAGTTTATTTCAGTTTGGAATAATCAACGTTCCACCCAATTGAAACGTTACAGATTACACAAGAAATGGCTTGGCTTAACGTCAATCCAAAAGGATCTATTGCGACCCCGATATACGCTTTCTAAAGCGCTGTGTCCAGCTTTGATCATTTCAACAGACTCCATAGCCTTGACACAGGGCCTTGTACGTAGGTTTACGCTGTTGGATTTGTGATTCCACTATCTAAAACCGTACCGTGCCAGTCCTTCGCAGTAACATAGGAGATACGCTGGGATTTGCAGAAACGGCATTTCAAATCTCAAATTTTTTAAATTCGTCTCCATTTTAGTTTATTCAAATTACGTTTTTTGCAGCATCTCAGCCCAGTAGGGAGATATTTAAGATATCGGAGTATTGCATCCTATGAATTTCCGTTTGTATATTATACAGTAGTTTTTCCCTGGGCAGAATAGTTTTACTAAAGTCATTCTGAGGCAGCAGCGGTGGCCGCAGTAGTAGACTCTTCGGTCTCCTGATCAGTCGCCGTGCGCTGTGCGGGTTCGAGTCCCGTCCCAGGAGAAATTTTTCTCTTGGCTATGGATGTTGTGATTGTCCGTAGGTGGTAGATGGTCTCTGACTGTCGAACGCAGAGGTACCACCCGGCGGTTCTCGTAGACGGAGCCAGAATGTGTGCATGTTGCATGCACACGTGTTCCCTCGCCAGAGTCCGTGTGGCGTTCCCCCTTTCCCCTGTATCCCCCTATAGCCGCACGGTACCCAATGGGTGTTTAGGCCTTAGGCCTTCGTGGTAGTTGGAGTATAAAAAAAATTTTAGGTAAAATTAGCTCCGCTCACCGCACTAAAGACGAGTATTCACATAACATGTCCCTTATCCAGACGGAGAGAGCGTACGGGCTTATCCGCTCCATCTTCGAAGAAAAATGGCTTGCGCCACCACCAGGCCATGGTGTTTATCCAGGATCTATTGTTATTACTAATTACCTAAATGCTTAAGGCAGTACTTCCTTTTGGTCACTATAGAATATCCGAATTCTTTATGCCAAGCTTCTGGATTGGCACATGTTTCTGTGAAGTTTTAACGAAACCTACCATTTAGTTTTTTGAGGTAATCCATACAAAACATGTCTATGGGCTTTTACACATGACTTTCTTCATATTATTTATATTTATCATCAGAATCAAACTTATGAAATGTTTATAAGAAATGGGATAAATCTGTATGCGAAACAAATATCTATCTGGTAATTTCAAGGCCTACCTAGAAAATTCCGCTTTTTTTAAATAACTAAGGTCTCGCAACGTCAATGTATGACGTGTTTTACAATATAGCGTCCATAAGAAAAAATAAAGTTGATGCTGGAGGACAAGGTGCGAAACGTCCTATTGAAATTCTTATCATGCCATCTTGTAGAGAAGAAAAAGTGGCAATGTTAATGTACAATTTACTTTGAAATCCCACTACAAGTAAAGTCACGAAAAAATTAAAATGATTTCGGGGAAGATCGGTTTTTCCGTCTCTCTCCGGAAGTACTTCGAATTTCGAAACTTTCTAAGCGGCACTTTGTTGATTGACTGAATACGCAATAGCAAAGTATATTGGCAGTTAACTTTTTTCTAAATGTACAGGGCGTACAAAAAGTCATGGAAAGGTAGTGGTGGGGGTCATTCCTAAACAGAAATGCCATATATGTTCTTTTCCGGTGTGTAGTTAGCGCCATGCTGAAGAATTTGTAGAAAACAAATGATAAGGGCTAATAATAATTAATTTCTGTTCATTTGGATTTGAAGAGCAACATAGTAATTTACTTCCGCGGCAAATCGCACAGCCTTCTTTACCCGAGTTATTGGTCTAACCATGCAAATGTTTATCCAATTGTAAAAACATGTCATATAGCTGTAAAAATTCCAAAAAATTTTGTATTTAATTGTGCAAATGCATAAATAATGACTGTCAGAATAAGGACAATAAATATTCCACAAAAAAATTGTATCGGCATACCACGGCGCGAAAGGTTGATCGAATGTACAGGGTACTTCCCTTTTTAAGCTAGTGATGTCGTTCGAGAGGCGGGACTGTGAAGTTTTGTACCGACACAGTTCAGTCGCCATTGGACTTTGAAGAGCGTGCTTTTTGCCGCTAAGCCCTGCTTTTCGAGCGGATGTTCTGTGATCGCAACCCAGTGTGCTTTTCGGGATCACCATAGTTTATCCCCGTTGGCCCCCGTACCGGACTGATAATCAATTGTTACGTGGGTTACTACGATCAGACAAATTGAGAGTGATGAAAAACTGATGTCTCTGGGCCCATTAAAATATTGAATCAGTGAGAGCTTCAACACAGCGTGCTGCCCGCAAACATGTATCTGCCCTTAGACTTTCTAATAGTTCTATAAGGAAAATTCTTCATGATTATCTTCATTTTCATCCTTACAGAATGGCAATTGTATAGGAACTTTTTAATCGTGACTTTAATTCTCGGATGAATGTTATTGTTTTTTTAGTGATGCCCATTTTCATTTGTGGGGATATTTCAACAAACAAAACATGCTCTACTTGGCTGACACCAATCGTCGGGAATTGCAAACAAAGGCCGTTGCATTTACCTAAAGTTACAGTGTGGTATGCAATTTCCTCAGCTGGGATTATTGGTCCCTGATTGTTTGAGGAAAATGAAATCACAGTAAAAGTGAATTCGGACCTGTATGTAAACATGACACAAGCATTTTTTCCACAGGTAGATGAGTTGGACTTAGGGGACATTTGGCTCCAACAAGACGGTGATGCAATGGCTTAAACTCCAAGAGCATCTCAATTAGAGAGGATTTGGAGTAGCCAGCCCAGTCTCCCGGTTTGGTACCTTGTGATTTTTTCTATGGAATTTTTGAAATCTCGTGCTTATGTGAACCATCCAAGTGCCCCACAAAATTTGAAATTGCAAAAATACCGCGTGCTATGCGGACAACAGTCATGACAAACGCCTGAAATCGTATACGCAGTGTATAGAGAATGGCGGAGCGTCACCAACCTGTATTGATTTTCAGAATACTGATAAGGTGATTTATAAAGTATAGTCAAGACTTAAGCCTTAAGGCATGAGAAATTATATTACAGCTTAAGGCTTAAGTCTGGGCTTAAGTCCTATGTTACGGAAACTCTGCGGGCACCTTAAACCCGACACTAAATTCGAAAAGTTTCTTAAAGACTAAAAATGATCTATTGACTGTTTCAAAAATATCGACTATTTTTTTTTCTCTTAAGTATATAGTATATCGAACGAATTGTTAGAAATTACGAAAAAAAATCCTGTAAAAGTTACAGCTCTTAAATATTAATATCTTGAGGTGCCGCATCGCAAATTTCAATTTCCCATTTGATTAACATGGGAAAAAATTTGTGTTCAACTTATGATTTTTTTTCTCATTACTAAATTATCATACGGATGAGTTCATAGTTTACTCTTGTAGGGAATTGAATGCTTTACAAAAAAGGTCTCTTACAATTTTCCGTTAAACCTTCTCGTTCAAAAGTTTTTCGAGGGAAATTGAAATTTGCGATGTGGCACCACTTAATATTAGATAATATTAAGAGCTGTTGCTTTTACAGGATTTTTTTTTCGTCATTTCTAACAATATTTTCGACGTACTTGAGAGAAAAAAATTGACGATTTTTTTGAAAAGTCGAATTGATACACAACTATCGAACTATTTAATGCATTTAAAAATGGTTGTGTATTCTTCTCTTTGCAGGATTAGCAGATTGCGGAACAAAACGCTAAAAAAATAAAAATGGAAGATAAGCGGAAATATCAGTCTGGAGCACAGAAACGAAAATAGAAAAAGAGGAAAAATTAAAAAAGCATGCTAAAATAGAAAAATTTTTTAAAGCCTCTCAATCTTCTGAAAAAGAACAAGGAACTATCAATACTTCTGAGACACGTGTATCAACTTTTATTTCTTCTTCTACCTCTAAAGAACTTTTGCCTTGTAGTAAGACTTTTACTTTTGATAAAGTTATTAGCAATGCCATGTTTACTACACCAGGTTCCTCTAATAGCAACATTACTGTATGTAGCGATCTTGGATTTTACATGGGAAAAACTCTTACTGATGAATATAAAAAGATTATTATTAGTCTTGAACCCAGCAGACCTAAAGGTCCATTTTCCAAGGATTCGAACCAAAATGATCGCAGTTTTAGTGAGAGTTATTATTTTTCTACTACAAAATACGGCCCTGTCAATCGTCTTTGGTTGCGCTATTCAACTGTACTAGATGCAGCCTATTGTGAATCTTGTTGGCTTTTATCAAAATTGTGCAGTCACTGGAGTACGGGCTTAAGAGATTGGAAACATTTATCATCACGCATTGAAGAGCACAGTAAAAGCAAAGCTCATATTGAAGCTTGCGCTGTTCACGACCTTTGGAGAAAAAATCGTGCCATTGACAAGAACCTAGAAGAAGAGGTCAGATTTCAAGCATCCTTCTGGAAAATGGTGTTGCAAAGATTATTTAAAATTACATTACTTCTGGTAAAATGTTCCTTGTCATTTCGGGGGCACCGTGAACGTCAAGACGATTTTAGTGGGAATTTTATGGCTCAAGTGAAATTTTTGTCAGACTATGACGATGTTATGAAACAGGTGGTGGAAATGCCTTCTGGATCTGTGCGATATCTTAGCCCAACTATTCAAAATAAATTGATAGATTGCCTTTCAAAAAAACTTACTTTTGAATTAACAAAACAAATAAATTCCGCAACATTTTTTTCTTTGCTTCTTGATACAACTCACGATATCACAAAGATAGATCAATTAAGTATAGTCATTCGAACTTGTCACATAATTCGAGATAAAAGTTTGAAATCAAAGAAACTTTTTTGGGGTTTTTCCAGTTAAAAGATCATTCTGCTGGAGGAGTTTTAAATATACTAAAAAATCTGGATATTCCCATTGAAAAATGTTATGGGCAAGGCTACGATGGAGCCAGTGTAATGAGTGGGGCTTATAATGGAGTAAATGCTCAAATAAAAAGAGTTCAACAAAATGCCGAATATGTACGTATATATTGTGCAAGTCACAACTTAAATTAGTAATAAATGATGCAGTAAATTGTTGTAAAGAGGTCTCGCAATATTTTGCCACTTTGCAAAATATATATTCTTGTTTTGGTTTAAGTATTAATAGATGGGATCTTTTAGCTTCTTTTACCAGTGAATCCAAAACAACTTTAAAAACACTAAATCCAACTCGTTGGTCAGGAACGATATTGTCTACTAGTGCTGTCAAACTTCGTTATCTTGATATTATTAAATCTTTAACAGAAATAGATTTACAGTCTCATAAAAAAGAAGAAAGAGATGAAGCTTCTTCCATTAAAAAACAAATGTGTTGCTTTGAATTTGTATTTATTTCAGCAATGTTGTATAAAATCTTTACCCAGGTTAACTTGGCCTCAAAGGTCCTTCAAAAGAAAACTATTGATTTAAGTGAATATTCAACCGGAATTCAGACAAAAACGTCAACCTAAACTTTGACGAACTCTTAAGTGTTTACAGATTTAATAATACTCAAATTTTATTTAAAATAAATGTTTTTAATGTTGTTATGGACCCGGTTCTGACACAGATTTCTGATAGATTTAAGAGCATGAAAAAAATTAATAAATTGTTTGATTTACTTCTTCCAAAAATTATATTAAGTTGCGATGAAACATCCATTAAAAATAAATGTACACCCATTTATAACAAATATCCTGAAATATTTGATTTAAATAATTTAATATTTCAGTATACCAATTTGTTAAATGTATGTAAAACAGACCTTAAGAATGATCTATAAATTAAGGAATATTTCAATATAATTTTAAGTAAGTATGGAGTACTTGAAAGCGACATAAGTAAATGTTTACTTAATGTTCCTTTTATTTTTTACGTTGCTTGTAACTACTGCAACTGTTGAAAGATCATTTAACAAGCTAAAACATAAAAAACTATCTTAGGTCTACTACAGGCCAGATTAGATTAAGCGATCTTGCTTTGCTCTCTATAGAAAATGAAGAAGCCCAAAACCTTGATATAAATGACATTATCAACGAATCTGCAAATAGAAAAGCAAGAAAAAGGGATTTTTAATTTTATTATTGTTTAATTTTTGACTTTTGTTATTTCATTATTTTAATTTGTGTTACTTTTTGTTTTTATGACAATAAACAATTTTTTTATTACAACATGATATTTTTTATTCTTAAACAAAAAATGTTTGCCCCGGTGCTCTATGACTTCTAGCTACGCCACTGTGATGAAGGCCACAAAACACATCTGTAACTTGCTGCAATTCCTTGTTTTCAATACTCAAATACACATTTCTATCGAACCTGTTTGGGATCAATTCCAGATCGATCCTAATGGTTCTCCGATTTTAGGTGGAACTGAAAGTTCAGGATAGATACAAATTCAGCAACATTGCATTATTCGTTTCGACTGTGGAAGCAGTTTATAAATAATGACAAAATATATAATATTTATTTATATACGTATACAAAGATATACAGTTTTAAATAAATTAAGAACAACAAATGAACCCTAGTTCATCGATTTCTGTTCTTGGAGCGTCCAAAAATATTTGTTTCAAGTTGTCGATTCACTGTTTACCAACTTTCTAACGTTTGCGAATAAACCTAACCTCACTTATGCTATTCTATACATTGTCTTCATCATTGTATTCTGTGTATACGCAATGTATACGTTGTATTCATTGTATACGCATTGTATACATCAAGACGTAGACAATTAATGTATACGCGTAAACACCCATCGCTGCTCTGGAGGCATCATCATGTATGTTTATTGGATATTTTGCCACTGCGTTGCGATAGCAACCATTGCAACGATTTCACTGAAAAGGAAATGATGCCATAAACCAGCAGTATCCACTAAATCTCCTCTTCCATTGATGTCGTTGCAACGGTTACTGAAATTACGCAGTGACGAATCGCCAATATACAGTCTAATGGAAGTGAGTTTTACTTGGTCTTGTAAACGTCACGAATTATCAAAAAGTATACGTTTTTCCATGCTTTCACATGGTAGTAAAAAATGGCTCTATTGTAAAATGGTATTGTTGATCATATTTAATGATTATGATCTTATCTCCTAATGTTGTATGCGGATAACGTGGAAACCGTACATAGCGTGCCTAGTTTTGTTACGAATTTCCACATGTCGAAAAAACGTGACAAACCTCTTTATAGCAAATTTTACTCTATACAAAAAAACAGTAGTGTTTTATACTTAGATTCTGAGTTTAGTCATTATAAACGGTACATGTAGCTTTACTGTTTTTATCGTAATCTGTTACCTACACTACTCATTTTTGTATAAGCAAAATGATTAAGAATTTAATTCCCTACAAAATTATTTCTATTACGTTTTTACATAGAATCGATGGTTTTCAAGATTTTCGGTCAAACGCGTTGATCTAAATAGCGGCAAATCCACCAGCCCTATCATAACGCCAATTTGAACTATCATTACTAAACAATAACCTAACGACACCACAAAAAAAAGTTACTGTTACAAAAGTTGTAGGATTTCCTTATACAAAATTTCTCCATTTCTTGGCCTAGCAAATGTGGAAGGGGATACTGTCAATTATTATGAAAACTGGTTGAGGTGACAATTTATCGAAACTCCCTTATAATAATAGCAGCGAGCAGCAGACCGACCTACTGTAGCTTATTTGGACAACAAAAACTAACAGGGGGCGTAGCTCAGATGGTAGAGCGCTCGCTTAGCATGCGAGAGGTACCGGGATCGATACCCGGCGCCTCCAATTATTTTTTTTGTCTCAATTCAACTCAATATGACTCATGTTCCATAGTAATTGTCAATACATTAAACCCTAAGACTAAAAATAAAGGTAATTAATAATGTTTCTTGATAAAACTACAAAAACCCTGACAGACTATAAAAACTGTTCTCCAACAAACAACTTTTGAGATCTCACTTACTTTTATATAGTCCGGTAACTTGAAGTCGTATTACATCTGGCAAATGGAACTAGCAATAAATTTTTTGTGTTGTATTTATATCGTGTGTATTACAACGGTACTGCCTGCTAATGGAAATCTGTTTTTATAGTTAAACATGTATAAACATACCTAACACTAGAGTATATAAACACGTAAGAGGTAAAATTTTTAAAACTGATAAAACATTTAGAGCAAAGGTAGAACTACCCCGTAAGCAAATTCCATAACGGAATAGGTCCTAAAATTGACCCCTGAGCAACTCCCATGAATGAGGCTTCTCTTTTTGATGTTACTTCAGTAACCGACTTTGTTCCGACATGTTGCTGTCGTTCAGAAAGAAAAGATTCAATCCATTCCAGCGGTTTACCTCTCAGTCTTCTAATGTGGATAATAATATTGAATGACTGACACAGTCAAATGCCCTGCTCCTGTCAATAAATACAGTCTTAGGACATTCGCCCATATCAATGCTGTCCAGGATGTTGATGTAATTATTCATTTAGCGCGGTGATGGTAGATTCACCTGAGCTAAAACTATGCTGATGTTTGGTGATGATTTTAAATTTGTTGACAAAATTATTAAATCTGTCCAGAAATGCATATTCAAATACTTTTGAGGAGGTTTTAGGGATTGTTACTGGTCTATAGTTTTCTGTTTCATGAGAATCGCTTTTTTAAATAATGGAATTACCTTACCTGTTTTTAGTTTTTTCGGGTATCCACCTTTGTGTGAAAGACATGTTAATTAAATACGTTAGTGGTGTTGATATTAAATGAAATCCTTTTTAAGTTAGTATTGAGTAAACCCATTGGTTCGTTTTCACTAAATGGAAATAGGAACATCGTATATTTATTGATACGTCGGGTGACTGCTAATGTGACGCTGCTCAATTATTTAGTAGATTTGTCGTGATCAGCAAGTTTTTCTGCAGATTTAATGGAAAATTTGTTGAACGCAGATGCAATTGCAATAGCTTCGCACATTTTTCCCCATCCAGGTTGAACGAGATATTAACATCTTTCTTTCATCTATTTGTTAATTAAGATACCACATTCCATAAGCCCTATTGACCGAACTGGAGATTCTTCCTTGGTAATAATACTTTTTTAACCTTCAATGCTATATTTACATTGGACTTCAACTAATTGCAGTACTCGTATCATTTCGTGGAAGACACGGAGATTCCATATTCTAAACAGAAACAGAATACCTGATAGAAAATCAACTCGATTTAAAGAATGTTGGTTTCGACTACCGCGCGCCATCTATCGGAACCTTTAGGTGCTAAAGTAGAGTGACATCTTCTGCTGATTTATAGAGTGCAACAAAATTTATTGTATCGATTTTCTTCCATAGTATGCGTTTAACATTAGCGAATAACAGGGCTACAAAATAAATGTATTGTATAGATGCACTTCTTTCCCACCGCAATATGTACACCATGTTTTTTTTTGTTGTTTTATGCCTTATATCTGTACCTTTATCATTTTTATATCATTTCGTCGTAAAACGTAAAGAGGTGATTCCCATTTTCTTGATTACGTGATCAGGTTCCTTAACGAAAAAATAAAACTATGCACTCAATTCCTATGCCTTCGGGGATTGTAAATCACGTGATGAGACTGATTTTTTTAATCTTTTTATCATAATATAATTACAGTTTTATATTGTCACCCTCAAAATGACTTCATCCACCCCTCATAGATGTGCTGGAACTCCGATACTGAAATAGCATAGCCTTCAGCTGGTCGGTTACAGCCGTTTGGATGTTTTCGACTGTTCCAAAATAAGTTTCCCTTCAAGTGATTTTTCAACTGGAAGAGAAAAAAGTCACAAGCACTCAAGTCAGACGAATAAGGAGGCTGCGGAAGCACTGGAATGTTTTTACTAGCC